ATTGGCACATACAAAGATGCTCATAATAGTGTAGTTTTCTAATTATCCTTCAGCTGAATCATTGTGACAACAGCTTACAAGAATGCATTTGGAAAAGTGAAATGTTTGAAGTGCTGTGTCCTGGTAGCCTGAATCTTCTTAGAAGCTTCCATCCTACTTATCCATACTTACCTTGTGTCAAACCAAAAACTTGTGCACATTTGCTCCCTTTCCTTTCCTCTGCCTAGAACAGTTAGTCCATGAGAGGTTAGCTTAATTTTCAGTGTGCAGCTGTGAATAACTGTACAACTCCAGATTGAGTATTGAAACTGAATTGCACAATGAGATCATTTAATTTTCTTGAAAGTATGGAATCAGAGTTGCTCCCAAAACTCTCTTGATATCAAATGCACTGAGGAGTAACTTGCTTCTGGGGAGTGTTTAATGCTTCTATCTTTTTTATCCTGCAACTGGTATAAAGACACTGGTTCTATCTAAAGCACTTAAAGACAGAAATGTCATGGGAAGAATATTATTAATTACAAATTAATTATTACTAATCTCACTTCAAATCCATGCTTATCCATGAATTTTACTGAGTAGTCATGTGGTAAATCATTCCCTCTCAACTTGATTTTCCATCTTAGGTTTGTAGTAGTGCGTATTGAATGGAAGTAAGTTACTATGTGCTCTACTTGGAGATCCTTGGAGGAAAATAAAGATGATAAAATATAGACTCACACTATTAAGTATTTTAAAATAAGTGGTTATATCCCCACTAAACAATGTATGCATTCATTTTTGTTGTTTTATGTTGACTCCTGGTAGCTTTTTGGTTAACAGTTGAGTTGCCTTGTTGCATACGAATTATTTAAGAGGATACATAGATCCAAAGGGGTCCTTGATGGAAGTTAGAGAGGTCAAAGCAGTGCCATCTTCTGGTGATTCATTGGAGGTGGCCATATGTTCCTTTTCTTGTGCAGCCCATGGGATTGGGGGTGGGGGTGGGGAGACAGGAGTCCGCCAAAACAGCAGACAGATGCGGCTTGGTGAAGAAAGATAAATTACATAAAGTGCTTCTTTATTGCAAGAACGTTTCCCAAAGGCCCAGATGTTATCCTGAGCTTTTAAGAGTGAAGAAAAGATCTGTTAGCAAGAACTCTGCTGCTGCTAGAAGCCAGAGCTGATACAACTGTAAACGAGCCGTAACTATCCATGTCATTATTAGCTGACCTATGTGTGTCTTCTCTGAAGTGGCCGTAGCCCTCTCGATGCTAGAAACTATGGAGTGCCCAGAGGGAGTTGACTTGTGCAAGGTGTGATAAGGAGGGGATTCTTTTTATATAAGATAAAAGGTACACTATGATTTTGGCTCTGCCATCTTTGCTCATTTTCTACTGTCCTTCCTGAGAAATAATCCAGGCTAATTTGTCTATTCCAATATATGTGTCATTTAAATCACTCCTAAAGACTCTGTTCTCAGTTGCTGCTTCTTTAATAGGAGCTGATGATTTCCAACCTCATCTATTTCCTTAGGAATACCCCCCAGAAAGACCTGTTATGGAATCAATTGCTACTAATTTCAGTACTGTTTCAAAGCTACTGACTTTTACAATGGAAGACAGTTTTATGTGGGGAAAGGCTTAAGATGTAAAGAGCACGTCTATCTAAAAAGCAGACTTAAATTGATTTAGTAGTCATTCCTCCTTTCACTTGGGAACATAGGAAGGTATAGTTTGGTGAGGAGAGCTAAGAAGACCTAACTCAGAATTCTACACTAAACATTACCAGAATTCTTTGGGGGAAACTAACCAGTGTAAAGTGCAATGTGTGATAAATAATTTTATTTATTTGCATATATCATCTAGGCTCGGTTCTTCTGGACACTACTTTCATTCTACAGAGTGCACATAATAGAGATGATTTATAATGTATTTTTTAGCTGGTGATCTCCTCCTTTATTCTTTGTTTGCTCATATAGCTTCTATACTAAATTATACACACCTGAATAGTGAGGTGATCAATATAATTGGAGTTGTACATAATCACTATCAACTTACACTATTGATATATTATAATTCCCCTTACTTTCTCTTTCCAATCTTTCTGTTTCTTCCTTAACAGATCAACTATTTGATATCTGATCTTTGTTAAAATTAGGTCATGCCCTATGTGTAGACTTTTCCTAAAGCAATTAAGGTTGGACATAGCACCATTGCCTCAGCAGTTCTTGGCTAGGGTTCAGGATGGCATCAAATCCAATGTGATATGATTTAAGAGATGTACTTATGCTGCATTTTCTTTCAGAATGGAATATTCACATCTTCCTGATAAGTAGCAACTGAAGCCCAAATATGTTCAAAGTTTAATGAGTGGAGAAGTCTTAGGAATATAGCAGTATGAGAGTTTCTCATTTGTCCTAGGCTGAGAGTTAATCCAGTCGGTGGAAAGTTGCCCAGAGCTCTTCTAAAAATGGTAGCTGAATTATATCTTTTTAATATTATAAAGGAGGAATATTATTCAATTCATGGAGAGCAATCCTATGAATAGCATTGAATCCATATAATCTCAGTTGGAGTTTAAATTCAAATGTTGATTTCTTCTGGTCATGTCCACTTTTTGGAATGTGGCTTTGGTTGCTACTTAAAGGATGTGCATGGCTGTGCCATAACTTCTATATCTTAAGGAACAAGTCTGATGTTGGATTTTGCCCTGTACTGCATATCTTTCAGATTCCTGTTAAAATCATAGCATTCGCTGCTGTAACACCTTGGAAATTCTTGCAGCCTTGCATTCATGTCTTCTTTGCCTTGGTTTTCTCTGCAATAGCAGTCATTATAGGCAGATGGCAACACAATCCTCAACAGAATTTTCACTTCTCATACTCCCCAATTACTTGCCATCCCCATCAACTTCAATCTCATTTCTGCTCCTCATCTGAATAACTCCTTCACATTTCTCACTTCTCTGTTCCAGAAATTAAAGCGTATAGAACTTCTGAAAGTGCATGTTTGGTGCCGAAATGTCCATTGAGGACTTTTAGTACATTCCCATGTGTCCAATGTCTTATTGTTGAAAAGTAGGAGTGTCGAGGTGCAAAGGCATTTATATCAGGACAGGAGCAATGATTTCATACAAATTCTTGAGATACATTTTTTCTTGAAAAATACATGCTTCTTGAAATACGTTTTTAATCTTCTTATTTTGAAAAACATTAGATAATAGAATATAAAAATATATAAAAATAACAGAGTTCTAACACTGAAGCTAGTGAATATTTTGTGGACCTCAGTATCTTCTCAGGCAGTGGGAAATAAGACAGCCATATTGTCTTTCCCAGTTTCTTCTGCTCAGACCTGCTGCTCATCCTCTTCCTAACTTGTGCAACAGTTCAGAACTGTTGATATGTAACAGGACCTATAGAAATAGGGACATAACGGAAAACACATCTGGGGAGGGAATGGGCAAGGGAAGCCCTGGGTGCCTTAGTTCCTCTGTACCATGAGTCTCCACTCCAATTTTGGATTTGGGAAGCTTTCTTTGAATGAAACTAGATGGAATACCTTTTACAAAATTAGCATTTGTTATCTTAGAAATGTACAGTGTGGGTATAGGACTGATTTGGGGATAGAGGAATGAATGCTTTATCCCTGACTTTGTTTTAGATCTGCAGTATCCCCAAATTTTGTGCCTGTTATTCGTGTGGGGAAAGGATTCTGATTCTCTTTGGTACAAAAAGTAGTCACGGAGATAGGGTGGTCGTGATGAAAACACAATACAGAAGAGAAACGTATATTCCCACTGTAGGGCCTTAATTGAAACAAGGGCCCTGTATTTGCAGATTAATTTTTTAATAGTAATTTTTGTAAATGTAGTTGCTGTATTCCTTTATTTACAATTTCCAGCCTGATGGAACTCCTACACAGGAATTCTGTGGATCTGGTAGTTCTACTTTTTGCAAAAATTCAGTTTATACTCAGGGCAGCTTACAAAATGAAAGGACAGAACACAAAAACTAAACAAAGCTAAATTAAAATCGAGACTAAAAGCAATTAACCATGAAAAGCCTGGCAAAAGAGATTCATCTTTACAGATTTTTCTAAACAGAGAAGAAAGGAGCCAAATTAGCTCTTGAGCAGTTGCATTCTGCAGCCTGGCAGCAAGAGGTAGTGAGGTCATTTTCAGAGAGCTGCTTATCTTTTAGAGAGGGGCAGGTTCCTAACAGATGGGGAAGTCCCTCAAATAGTCAAGACCAAACTATTATGGTTTTAAAAGTTAATACACTTGCCATAGTTTGCCTTGGCAACTTTAAGATGAAGTCCACACATCTTAAGTTGCCAAGGTTGAGAAACACTGGTTTATATCAACTGCAATTTCTAGATAATTTTTAAAGGTATTTTCATGCTGGGTGTGCTGCATTAGTCAGGAATGAGGTGCTGGGCAGGCTTAGTGATCTTATTACTGTGCTTGAATAAAGGGGCAAATTATAAGTGAAGTGAAATGAGTCTTTGCATTTCAATATGCAGGGTTTTTAAAAATAGTAATAGTGAATCCGACCTTGGTGCATACAGTACAGAATGTAAAGAGGTGTAAACAAATGCAGGCTTGAATGTAACCTATAAATTGTTACTAGATATGGAAGAGCTGCGGGCTTGACTGTAAAATTGTGTGTATCTGTGTGTGGGGAAATCTGCAAGAAGGCACAGGCAAACCACTTCTGTGGTGCTGCCAAGAATACATGGACATGTCCATATAGTTAGCTGGAGTTGAGTTCAACTCAAGGGAATCTTTACTTCTTATGTCCTTCTTACCCGTCTTGGTCAACATCGCTTGCATGGAAGCATTTTATTTTCTAGACTAGCCCTCCTTCTAATCTTAATGTGCCCGTTTTCTCTACACAGTGAGATTTTTGTGTAAGTTTTGCAAATGCATTATTGCATGAGGTCAGATGATGATGTGATGAGGAAGAACTCCATACAGAAATGTGTTTATAAGCCAAATTTCCATGTCTGCCTTTGTAGCTTCATGGATACTGTTACCAAGACAGCAATGACATCTCAGACACATTGACTGCCATCACAGAACTAGGTTCGCCACTAGAGATGATACAGCTTTTGCAGACTTCCTGGGAGGACAGATTCCATGTAAGTATAATTACAAAGTTTTAATGGTACAGTTTTATCATGCACAGAATGAGTACAGGTAGTCCTTGCTTAGTGACCACTCATTCAGCAACTATTCAAAGTTATGATGGCGCTGAACAAGGAGACTTACAACCGGTCCTCATAGTTGCAGCTGTCACAATGTCCCAGAAGTCACATGATCACAATTCAGGCGCTTGGCAACTGGCATGCATTTATTACAAGTGCAGTGTCCTGAAGTCACGTTATCACCATTTGTGACCTTCAAAAGCAGTTAACAGGGAAGCCAGCAGGAAGTCACAAGTTGCGATCATGTGACATTGCACTTAAAAACCACACACTATTCACTTAACGGCTACAACTGGGACTGCTGTAACTGCCGTTGCAAGTTGGCGTGATTGCATGATTTTTCACTTTACGACCATGTTGTTTAGTGATGGAGTTGCCTGTCCCAATTACAGTTGTTAACAGAGAACTACCTGTAAGGAGCAGTCTTCCTCTACCTGGCACTTTTCAGCTGTATCGGAACTGGAGCTCCAACAAAGTTCATTTTGGTTGGGAATTCTGGAGTTGAATTCCATAAAACTATTAGGGGAGACTGACATAAAAAAGCATGAAGAGGGGATCACTCAGGGAAATGTAAATATCAATTTACATTTGGGGAAAAGGTGGGCCTAGTGACCCACCTACAGGGCCGTGCAGAGGAGTTTTCTGGGCATCTGGCAGATAAAATTGCTCAGATACGTTCCCAGTTGGATGCCAAGCATGTGGCATGGCCTGTGGAGATGCCTGGGGTATGTACTTGGCCTGTTATCTGGGAAAAGTTTGATCCTGTTGGGCTTGAGGAAGTGGACAGGGTCTTCCGGGCTGTAAATGCCACCACCTGTCAATTAGATACATACCCCTCCTGGCTGGTTAAGGCAGCTTGGGAGGTGACATGTGGGTGGGTCCAGGCGATGGAGAATTCATCCTTGAGAGAGGGAGTGTTTCCAGCAGCCTTTGAAGAGGCACTGGTACACCCCCTCCTCAAGAAACCATCACTGGATCCCACCGTACTGGACAATTTTTGTCCAGTCTCCCACCCTCCCCTTTTTGGGAAGGGGGGTGGGAAGCTGGTGGCCTTGCCACTCCCGAGGGTCCCTGATGAAAAGGAGTTTTTGGACCCTTTTCAGTCGGGTTTCAGGCCCGGATTTGGGACTGAAACAGCATTGGTCACACTTTTGGATGATCTCTGGCAGGAGCGGGATGGGAGTAGCACATCCATCCTTGTTCTTCTTGACCTCTTAGCGGCTTTCAATGCCA